TTTAAAGGGACAGGTAATAGTTAGAAGCTAATTTGATTACATTGAAATGGACCAGTCATTGGTCCAAATAAATGCTTATTAAGGGACCAGTCTTTCGGGTTGCTTTTAAATGCAGTGCAGGCTTTGCTTCCATGGATATGAGTGGGAATAGAATATACTTGGGATTTCCCAGGAATCAGGTCTTTGCTCTGCAGACTTCTGCTCATTCAAATGGTTGGTTATGCAAATATATTAAAAAGCCTTGAGTAAATAACACTGCACCCTCTTTAGCTTGGTTTATTATTTACATATTTAGCAACAGTGTTGTATCGTCCCTTTTCTGGAGTGTCAGGTAAGATCCATTTCACAGTGACAGTATAACAGCCAGATATGCACTCAATTTACAACCAGATTACAAGGAAAAAAAAAATCTAGCATTTAAAATTATATACAGCAGTTTATTTAAACAGCGATTAACTTTCATCAACTGTATGCGAATTTTTGTTTTCTTTAAGAAACCCTGCCATTCTCAGTCACAGCTGCAGCCCTCCTGCAGCACCCTGTTACTCAGTGACTTGAACGGAGCTTTACAGATATTTCACAGCCAATTATCATACAGGTTTCTTATGTTAAAATTAAGGCAACCGGAGTCAACAACCACTGCTGAATGAAGGCAAAAGCTTGAGAACATTTTGCATAACAGTCATCAGCGTAGCTGATAGCTATTACAGTGTTCTTGTGCAGTAAGCCTACGCAGATACTATCTCTCTTGCCTGTCTGTTCCAACATGCATCTCATCTCATTTGCAACCCTTTGCTTTAATTAGCTGAAGTCTTTGCTTCAGTCTTTCATATGTCAACCAGCCTGTTGAAGTACACTTCCATATTTTTAATCAGTAGCCTGTTGTCTTTACTTTGTCATTCGCACTAGCATATAAATCTGCCCTTCTTATGATCCTCACTGCTTGGTAGAAGTCAAAACATGCTGTTTAATTTTCCCGTTCACTGATTTCCATTTGTTTCATGTTCAAATGCTGGCTCTTTTCCCCCTTTTGGGCATGCTGTGAGCATTAAACTTAGTGATTAAATGCCAAAAAACGACTCCTTTTCCCCTTCCCCGCCCACGAATGGGTCATCCTAACCCTTGCTCGGATGCTTACCTCAACAGCGCGCCCTGTGCGTGTGCAGTCAGCCTAAACGGGGCTAGCTGCATGGGACCGCCATAGGCTGACAGAGGTTAGCTAACGATGGCTAATAAAACAGGTGCAAAACTTACGTGTTCTCTTAGGCTCGTGACTGGCTTTTTGCTGCTTGTTCTCATTTTTTTATTTAATCTACTACAGCAGAATATTGCATTTCACCCATGACACAGCCGAATCCTGAGCCACCAAGACTTAAAAATAACCGGACATAAAAGAATGAGAGGGTGGCATGTGGCTGTCCTCCGGCTTTCAAATTTTCCGGTTCACTGCGGGGGAATCCGAGGTTGTCTGTAGCTGTCTGACAGGTGGGGTGGCTGGCCCTGACATCTGTGCCTGTGGCTGATCCCCGAACTGAGCCTGGAGCGTGTTCAGGATGTCATCTAGCTTCTGGTCCATCTGCATGACCTGTTAAGGAATCAGAAAGCAGACGAGCTGTCAAATGGTTGCACATGCTTCTGGTGAGAGACACTCACTGGTCAAAAGCTCTGGGAGGATAAAGCCTGGCAGGGAGCGTTGGCATCTGAGAACCATCAGTTCCTCTGAGTTTTGTCTAGCCTGTTGCTCTAGAAAGGTTGAATGATGCTATGAAGTCACAGGGAAGGGTGTAAAGCCATGTGAAGTGGCAGCAGGAGGACAGGACATTGGTGGCCTGAGCACTTGACCTCTTGAGTCAGCCATTTTGTCTCTCAGCCTTTTCCCAGGATTGCCAAGTTCTCTCGGTGATGATGCATCCTGCAAATATCTGCCCTGAAACTCTCTTTCGCTCTTCGGTTTATTGTGAGTGTTTTTTCCCACTACCTCTCCCAGAGCTTCACCACCCTTTGTCGTAGGACATCATGCTTTCCATTACTGTCTTGGGAAATGAAACAGCTCCCCTCCCTTCACACTGTAAATAGATGCCTCTGTGATACATGTTACAGTCAGAGATCCTACCAGATACGGTGTTTATTCCCATGCATTGTTAGGAGGATAGCCTACTAAAAACCACATAATAATAGCAATGACTTCATTTAAAAAAAGAACAACCTTTCTATAGGAAGCATGACATGCTAATCCCTCCTCTCATTTCTTTGCTTTCCAGCTGAAATTTCTCAGGCATAGTCCCTAAGCAGAGGAGTCGTTTCTAGTTATTATGATTTTTAAGCTGGGAAAGAGAAATATGGATTTTTTTTTAAAAGGACGCTGCTCTCATACTTTCTACTGCTTTTTGAAATCCTGGCCTTTATCTAGGAGGCCCAAGCAGGCATTACCCCATTGTGCTGGTAGGGTTTGCCTTCACGGCAAATGGCATCCCACTCACCTTAGCATCAGCCAGTGGGACAGGCTGGGGTCTGTTGACTGCTCTAGTTTGCTCTAAAGGCAAAACTGTGGCCAGCATCCTGTAAGCAACTGGGATTGCTTCTAAGGATGCTTGAATACAGTGCAGCTTTGTGTAATAGATGAGCTCAAGAAAAAGGAGCATTTTGAAGAACATTGGATGGTTCACTTTACAGTTATCTGCTGTGAAACTCTGAGCCTCTGAAAACTGTGATCTGTCCCAGTGGGTCTAATAAACTGATAGCAAACCTTTTAGAGTGATATCAGATCTAAACTGAGCTTTCAATAAAAACGGAGACAGAATAAGAGAGAGAGAGAGAAGGATTCCAGCCTTTTTCTGTGCAAAGATAACTTTGGAAATAGCCATTGGCAGCATGGACTGAAAGTTTAGCAGGTTGAGATTGCTTTAAAAAACAAGGCAAAGAAAATCACCTTATCCGCTTTCCCCTTCTCTGCCTTTTCTCACTCCAAGTGTCTGCTCCCCTGAGGGCCCCTCAAACCTCAAGGTACCAGGAGCTTATTCAAGTTATATCAATTTGGCAACCACTGTTCTCTCCTATATACAGCCTGCTGGGGGAAGGAGGCGTGGAGTATCTTTCCTGCCTCATGAAGGGAGAGATGTGCTCTTCTCTCTTTCATTTCTACTTTCATGACTACTATCTTGTAGTAGAAAAGTCCCTCTCCCTGTCTCTTCTTTGGTTTGGGTGTGGGTTATCTAAGGCAGTATTTTCAAGCAGCAAGGAGGGAGTATTTAGGGTGTGGATTAGACAGTATAGCCCTTCACTACGATTTCTGCCCAAGTGCTTTCAGGTGCATGGCTGGCACTGCCTGAGGAGTGACCAGGGTGGGCAGGGCAAGGTGTGTGGGCATGGGAGGATGGGGGCTGCTCACTGCAGCCCCCCTGGGTGCAGGGTCGTTGGTTGCAAGCCTACCTTGGGATGAGTCACTGTTGAACAGCAACTTGAGTAGATACTGACTGTACTGGGTTGAGGGGAAGGGACCCCAGCAGAGGCTGTGTCCGGCAGAGGAGCAGCCACCTCCCAGCCATCCTGACTTCATGCTGCCAGTAGCATCTCTGCCTTTTCCCGTATTTAATGAGCTGCTAGGAGAGAGTGGTCGATGCTGCTGTGGCAGGTCGCTCTCTCTGGTGTGGACACCAAGAGAAGCACTGATAGTGCTGTCACGTTGGGCACAACTGTTACATATTCTGCTCAGCATTAAATTGGTTGGAAGTCTGGAAGTCACTAGTGGTTTAAGGGTTAAGCAGCACGGAATTAATTTAAAAACCACAGCCTTTATTTTCTCCTCCATTCTTGAAAAGCCTGTTTGGCTGATGCTGGTAATGACTCAACAGAATCTTTCTTAAGCAAAAATGTTGCACAGAGGAGAAACTAAAGCTGAACTAATTCATTACAGTAGGGTAAAAAGAGGTGTAGGCAGGGAAATGGGATCAGACAGATGAAAGATCTTTTGGGGTTTCTTTTGTGAGGCTTTGTTGATTTTGATCTGCACACTTGATCTTAGATAAGCTATGCCTGCATATTCCATATCATTTAAACTTGCTGTATTTCTCCGTATTTTGCCAACTCAATGAAAGAATGTGATGAGGAATAATTTTATGCACTTTTCTTTCCAGGAGAGGAGGAGGGTGGAGAACGTAAATATTCATTTGTAAGGAGGGAAAAAGAGAAACTCATACATAAGGGAGTAGATTACACTAAACTTCTGTCACACCTTCCACACAAGGATCTGCAAATATTTCCTGAACATTCATAAACGAAGCTGCTCAGTTCTCCTGTGTCAACTGAGAACCCTCATGGGAGGGTTTTAATGGTAATTTTTGAGATTGGAAGCAGGAGCCTGCAAAATTAAGTGACCTGTAAGAAGATGTGGTCGGTGGCAGATCTCTTCTAATCCTTAGCTTTGTATTTTATACATGGGATCAAGCCACCACTTTCTGGCTTCAGATGCTCTAAAATATGCCTTACTTTGAACATGCAACTAGGCTGGTAAAACTTTAGTCAGAAAGATAAATTCTTCAGTACCTTGTTCAATCGGAGCCTATTAAAAAGGGGTCAAATTTGGAGGCTGGTTAACTGGGATTAAGGAGTAACAAAAGGAGAGCTTTGGACACTTCAAGGCTTGACTGAAGTCAGTAGGATGACTCACAGGGTTAGCAGACTTTTCATACGGGTGACGATTTTTCACAAGAAAGTCCTGGTTTTAGATTTCTCCAAAACCACCTAGCAGCTATTACTTTCCTTAAGCCCAAATGGAACGAGTTGCCAGTTTTGAGAAACACACCCAGGCAAGCACACAGGCAAAGGGTTAAATTGTGCAACGTGTTTTTCGGCTGAGTAAAGTGAGAAGCCATCCATGGCTGGCTGCAGAGTTTCCAGAGAGATGTGATATGCCCCTCGCAGGCTCGGTGGAGACAGGTGAGTTTGGCAGCTGTCCACGGGCAAATGGCAACAAAACTTCTGTTCTCCCACATCACAAAAGCACTCCGGAGACAATCTATAAAACTGTTAAAATGCTTTTATATCCTTTCAACTGCCCTGTAGAAAGGAGACTTGCAAAAGCAGTTTAAAATATTACACTGTTGTTATTGGGGCTATGAGGTGAGCTGAAGGAGTGTTGAAATATATGTTCATTTTAACATCCCCCCGTGAAACAGCGCTGGACTCCATGGTGACATGCAGGACTGGTAGACAAAGAAAATGTCTTCCAACCAGCTCCAGTGAGTCACAGAAAGCCCTGATGGGGAACTGGGTCTGTCAGCCTGTGGGAGGCAGGGTGTCCCTGCCCTTCACCTTGAGCACCAGGTTGGCTTTCAGTACCTATGTGCTAGTTGAGGTTGTTTTTCAGCCTCTGTTTGTGAAAGCTGGTGTCTCGACCCTTTATCTAAATACCCCGTTTTACCTCGGTGGGCTCCTGCTGCAGAAATGCCTTGTGGAAAAGGGGACCCTTGGAATGGCAGCAGCATGGAGAAGGAGGGCTGGATCATGCTGGGGATTTGCCACATGCTGGACAGATTCCTAACTCCCCTGAGAGCTTTTTTTCTGACATGTTTTGCACAGGCACACCATAAACAAAATACATGTGTGGAAGACTCAGTTGGAGTAGCCACATGATCTCCCCCAAATCCTCTCACTTTAAGCCAGAAAAATCCCTCCCCCCAGGTTGTGCCTGAAAATCATTAATATGATTTCTGGAGGCTGCGAAAGCCAGTATCAATTATGTGCACAACACACTGACTTGAACTATTTCCAGAGGAGTAGCAGAAGGGGAAGATGGTCTGCTGGAGCACTGAAGAAAATCTGTAAACCCACAAATACACTCATATGTTGCTAAGTAGGCGGAGCTTTGTATCAAAAGCTAAACCCCATAAGTCAAACAAAGTTGCTGTCACCTCCTTAAGGCTCTGCTCTCTCCCTGCCTGTAGCAGTCCTACATGAACTCATCAAAATGGCTGAGCGGTACAGCTTTCGTGCAGTTGTCTGCAACATGTCTGGGCTGCTGGTACTGGGGATGCAGCACGAAATGGAGGAGGGAGAGAAGGCAGCCCAAATTTGTGTTACCAATCAAAATGTCATAGAGCAACAATAAGTTCTGCTTTTGGCTAAGCTGGATTGACTTTGGCTTCCTGTTTACCTCACTCAGGTGGGGAAAACTATGAAGCTGTACCCACAGGACAGCCCAAGGTGTCGTGGCAGGGGTGGAGGACTGTAAGGGCCACTGCATTGTTGAGCCCCATCCCCTGCTATCGGAGCCACTGTACGATGGGTGCTTTGGTTCTGGAAGTCCCACAAGACATCCAGGCTCCCTCTCCCCGACGTGCAGCCCTCATCCCACAACAAACTGCAAGCCTAAGCATGGATAACCAAGAGCCACCAAAGCACAGTGGGCCACAGGAGGCAAGCAAGGGCGTTCCCAGAGTGTCTGCAAGGTGTTATGTGATATTTTCCAGCTGCTACTGCAAAGTCAGCCATATCTGGGGCCAGAGCTGCCATGGCCAGCTGCCCCAGTGCATGCAAACACAACATCCCAGCCCAGGGTTTCCAAAGCACCAGAGTCCTCAGCTCAGC